GTTGTGGGATGACTCGGCGACTTTACGAGTCGCCTCATTTCCTTGTGGGTCCTTAATGACCCTTGAAGTCTTGGCGCGAATGTGCTCTTCACCCTTTTGCTTAGCACCATGGACTACGTAGTTCTTGATTCCATACAACTTGTAAGGAGTCCTCTGATTTGCTCGAACGATGTTCATGGTTTGGAGGAGTCCCGGTCCACTCTTAGCATTTTGACTTTTAAGGTTTTCGTGGGTTCTTAGCACGAGTTCCCAACTCTCCTCCTTGGTTTGCGCAATCCTTTACGCCAAACATCCCTAGTCGGTTGTGTCGTAGGACCCAACTTCAATTACTCGTGCATTGTAATTGATTGTGATTTCCCGATGGTGTCTCGTGCGTCAAGGTCTTTTACGTAGGACACTATGTTTGGGTGGTCCGTGGTTCCTTACCCAAGACTCACATTCATAAATCGAGGCACACAAGTGCGCCACAAATCAATAAAATGAGGGGTTAAGAAATCAGCACATTGTACCAGTGGGCGCGAGGTGGGCGGTCGCCCGCCTGCCAAGCTCCTGCCAAGGACCCGCCAAGGTCCCGTCAAGGACCCGTTGGGGACCCGCGGGAAAGTGACTAGGAAGAGTCAATTCCTTCGGGAAAGACCCCAAAAATGCACAGATTCATGTCCTGACAAGTCCCATGCCCTTGTGCACAATAAAAGGGACTTGGATACATAAGATGACCCATCGTACAATGTTTATTGATTCTTAAGCACGAGTTCTAGAGGTAGATATACATATACATATATATATATATATATATATATATATATATATATATATATATATATATATCTATGTTTTCTTGGTCTGGGTTAAGGGGTGTAAGAAGTGCAAGGGCTAGGTTTCAAAATCGAGGGGCGGGTAGGGTCGATGTCTCCAAGGTCGTAATACAGGAAGGAAGGTTGCTACCTTGTACGGGTTTGTTTGTAATGAGGGATCAAGAGCGAGGTTTGGAGTGGTAGGACGGATTCTTTAACGAAATGGTACTTGATTGGCAAGGGGAGGGAAAGGGGTTAAGGACTCTTGGCTTCGAGTGATTATGCCTGTTTGGGGCTTGGTTGTGGCGTACAGTCGAACTGGTGATCCCTTTTCCTTGGCTTCGTTTGATTCTAAGATTTTCGTTTGATCTTCTCTTCCCTGTCGAAGTCCCCTTCGTCTCTATGGTTTCCAGGGGAATTCTCATGATGGTTTCCGTGTACGTTCCCCTCGGATGTCCAGAAGTCTGGACCCAGTCGGTTAGTGGGTCAAATCCCTAGGTCTTGACTCCTAATCCTTGCCGAGGGTTCTTAAGGGTCAAGGGGGGTTTCGGGTTAGTCTTTCTTGTTCTATTGGGTTTCATCCCTTCCTTGGTGGATGAAATTCTTAGCAAGGCTTTATGTCCTCCTTGAGGTTCGGCCTGTTGCACCTATTTGACGATGTTTTCTGTAGCGAGGGCCCTTGACACATTGAACGTATTTGTTTGCCCGCTCTTGTCAACGCATGGCGTTCTTCGGTGGCGTACGTACCGGCTATGGTTTCTCGTAAAGCCTTCACGGTTTTCGTGCAAGGGTGGGATGATACGTATTCGTAACTTCCACCTACTTCGCCGATTCCTATCTAACAACTTATTTTAATATTGAATCGATGAATGTTGATTCTTCACGCCCCTGGGCAGGGTAAGGGCTTTATGCTGCTCTACGGTTTTTAACAGGGTTTCCAAACGGAGTGGGGATATGAACTTAGAGTAAGGGCGATGATTCCAATGCTCATAACAATTTAGGGTTTCCGAGGGTTTGGGTTAGGCGCAACAAAGGGTGAGCAAGGTCATGACGGTTGTGAATTTGCTCTTAAGGTAATTAAGGATTCGGGGTGGGAGTTTTCAACAAATAGGGGTATCAAGATGCTGGGGTTTCAGGGCGGATGATATTTTAAACTGGGGTGGTGGGGTCGCAAGGTGTCGCGATATACTTACCTTGCGCCCAAGGATTCGACTAATGGTGTCGTTCATTCGCTACTTTAATCGGTGTCCTAGTTCTCCTTCCTGTTTGTTGTAGCCGCAACCCGGGTTTGCTGAGATAAAGCAACTTGTCGGAAGGTGCATGCCATTTGTCTGAATCGGGGGTTATCGTGGTTAACCCTGGGTTGGTGAGTATTGCAGTCCGTTCCTTTTAGCAGTCCTGACGTCTTGATGCAACGTCTTTTCACCACCTCTTCCAAATCTTCCTTTTCTTTGGTTATGGTCCTTGTCAATTCTTTTGACGGGAGTTAGGACGAGGCGATTTATCGGGTAAGTGTATGTTACCCAGTTGTGGAAGTAAACTTATCTATTCGCACCCTTACCTGGTGTGGTAAGCGAAGGGGGAGGTTCCTTTAAGTTAGAGAGGGATAAAGTGAGGGGAGGTTATGTGTAGGCTTCACAATCTCACTGCGCGTCCTAAGATACCTGAATCCTATGTTCCTAAGTACCTAGAGTTCAAGCCTAGTGTCCTAAAGTCCGGTCTTAAGAGTCTTATCCTAGGGTCAAACTTAGGCTCTGATACCAACTGTAACACCCCAGATTTTCAAGACTTTTTAAACTTATAATAAAGGTAGAATCTTATTAAATCCCAAGATATAATACAAGCGTTCGGGGTGCTATGCCACACCTGGGCTAGAGAACCCAAGTGCACAGGCTAACTAACTAATATCCTCGAAGTGTGATTACATAAACGTGGCACGCAGGCCAAAAGGGAGACTATCTACTTCTACACTCCAAGTTCTAGCGCGCTCCAGTGACTTAACCTTCTGCGTGAAAGCCAAATATATCTGTTCAGCGAGAGATGCTGGTAACCCACTCCAACGCGTTGAAATACAATACATATAGAGATATATATAGATATATGAAAACCACTTTGAGCATGAAGATATGTCCTACGAACTCTAGCTTTAAAACCGGGAATGACTCGACAGATAAGGCCAGACACAAGCAACAGTTATAACGAGCATATGCAGTTCACAATAGTTAAGGCAGATAAGGCAAAGCATAAACAATGGTCATAACCCAATATGAACAATCCCCAATATAAATCCCATAGTCACATCCCCCAAGACACTCGTAATCTCAACTCGTCCCTGTCACAACACGTAACACACTTTGTTGGCGCCACAGGACCAATCGCATGCCCATACATGAGGGTCAGCGCATATAGCTCTGACACGGCCCCGCAGCACCCTGCCCCGTATCGCAACACGGAGGGGTCGATCGCAACCGACCGATGAACCGCAGCTCATCATAGTGTTTGATCGCAACCAAACAGTGGACCGCAGCCCAAGAGAATGTCATCTGACCGCAGCCAGGAAAAAGGACGAACCGCCGCTCGTATAGAAACGTTTGATCGCAACCAAACGGTGGACCGCAGCCCATGAGTATCAATCTGACCGCAGCCAGCTTCTGAACCGCAGCTCAGGATAACCAATCCGATCGCAACCGAATTGGGGTAACACACACACATAACACATAGCGGGCACATGCAACCCACATTACACATTAGGAAGGGGGAGAAAACGTATAACAAAACCTATGCGTGATCCATCACATACTAAGAGTAGTCCTAAGGGGTTCATACTTCTACCACTTAGGTCAACGGGATACCAATTCAACTAGCATGCAATGTAATAGACTCGTAAACCTACGAACGGCACCCGAAATATCAAACTAGACATAGGCACGATGAACGGAGTCCGTTGGGACACCACGGGGATCGGGGGAACGTCAATCGGGGAAGCCGGGATCCCGAGGTGGGGGAATTTCCAGCGGGTAGCCGGTGGGTGGGGGGCCACCCGCCGGCTGCCCGCCGGAATTACTGTTCCGGGCAGCGGGTCGCCGGCGGGCAGCTGCCCGCCCGCCGGCTACCCGCTGCCGGGCGGTGTTTCACGGTCGTGGGTAGGTGGCGGGTCCCCTACCCCCCACTGACTCTTTTCACACACTTTACTCCCCGGGAACCGTTGTGGAACCCGAAACCATGCATAGACACTTTACGACGAAATTAACGACAACACGTAGCCAATTAACGAATCAAATACAAGAAACGAACGGCACATAACCTATCATGCTTTTCTAAATATAATCAACACCCAAACATGCGATTTCCCCACCCGATAACCCAAGAATAAGATCATACGATACAACCTAGGGTTCTAATCACTTTTATATCAACAAGAATACGGTTCGTCTTCTAATTGCAAGATTCGGTAAGAATAACACATAAGCATCAAGAACATCACACAATTATCAGGAACAACACATAATCATCAAGAACTCCATATAATTATCAAGAACACCATAATTACCAAGAATCTCCCAATATCAAGATCATCAAGATCCCCCATGGGATCATCACATCAATTACCAATAATAATCATCATAACTCGCCAATATACAATAATATGGGGAAACCCTAAGGGGGAATTATAACTATGAAAATAGGTTTTGTTGAGACATGGGTTACCTCTTAGCCTTAATTAATTCCTTGGCTATGAAGGATCTTTCTTTAAACTTTCTTGATTTCTTGATTTCTCTTAAGGGGATTCTTGGAACTCTTTGGGTGGTGAGAGATTATTGTGGTGGGGATTCTAGGTGCCTCCTAAGTTTCCTATTTATATATTTAAGACTCCTAGTTAGGGCCTGAATGGTATGCGTTTACTAATTCTATTCCTTATAGGGCTAGGGTTTGTTTTAGGGATAATGGTCCACGGTCCATAGTGGACCATATTAATTAAAGAGGATCCTAATCATAATCTGAATAGTAAAAGGCCTACTTCCATTATTCCTAATAGGCTTAAGACTCTTATTCGGGCGAGGGTCCACAGTTCATGGTGGACCTTACTAATTAATTAAAGGTGAACCTAACATAATTAAATCATATTTAATTATTATTAACGGGATTAATTAAATAATTAATCCGGGATTGAAGGCCGTAACACGGGGTGTTACAAACAATGCTGCCATGACTTACTGTTTGGAGATTATGTCTACTCAAGCCATCAACCCAAGTCATGGTGGTTCAATTTCCAGGCATAGAGTGATTTACTGTGACCGTGAAGATGGTGATCGAAGATTACATGCTGATTATCTTTCAGAAAATCCAAAATATAATGAGGCAATATTTCGTAGACGATTTCGGATGAGTCAAAATTTTTTCTTACGAATTGCCAACGCTGTTGCAGATCACGAAAATTATTTTGTGCAACGGAGAGATAAAATCGGTAGACTAGGCTTCTCTACTTTACAAAAAGTAATAGCAGCATTTCAAATTTTGGTTTATGTAGTAGGAGCAGATGCAACAGATGAATACATCCAAATTGGGGAATCAACAGCAATTGAAAGTTTGAAGAGATTTTGAAGAGCGGTCGTAGAGTTTTTTGGACAACGCTATCTAAGAGCGCCTGATGCTAATGATTTTGCAAGGTTGCTTGAAATTGGTGAAAGGCGTGGCTTTCCAGGGATGCTTGGGAGTTTAGACTGCATGCACTGGACTTGGAAAAACTGTCCAACAGCTTGGGTCGGACAATATGTTGGGTGTAGTCGAGAACCAACTATTATTCTCGAGGTCGTAGCTGATTATGATTTGTGGATTTGGCATGCACTTTTTGATTTGCCAGGGTCGAATAATGATATTAATGTGTTGGAGGCATCACATTTGTTTGCAAACATTGCAAATGGTACGACACCTCCTACTCATTATGTTATTCAAGGGAAAGTGTACGATATAGGATATTATTTAGCTGATGAGATATATCCGAAATGATCAACCCTGGTACAAACTATTCATCATCCCCGAGGAAAAAAAGAAAAAGTTATTTGCAATGATGCAAGAAACATGTAGAAAGGATGTAGAACGTGCATTTGGGGTCATTCAATCAAGATTTGCAATAGTCAAGGGACCAGTACGTTTTTGGGATAAACATGTATTGCATGATATAATGACATCATGCATCATAATGCATAATATGATAATTGAAGATGAACGTGATGAGCAAGTCGATATACGAAGTTGGAAAGAAACACCGGCTCCTGAGGTTGATATAGGTAGAGATGAAAGAATTGTCTTTGAAGAGTTTCTTGCGCGACATAGGCAAATAAAAAATAAAGAAGCACATTATGCGTTTCGTGATGCATTGATCGAGCATATGTGGAAACGATATGGTAATTCTGAAAATTAAATGTAGCGGATGTTCTATGATTTATTATTGTGAAATAAAATAATATTTGCATTATAATTATATTGTATCCTTTTTGGTTTTTATATATTTACATATTTCGTTAAATATTAAACATAATTTAATATTAAATATAATTTAATTAAAAATAAAATTAAATAAAATATAATTAAAGTCTAATTTATTAAATTTCAACTATTAGTTTTGTTAAAAGAATAAAAGTATAAATATAAACTTTATGAGGGGTGTAGGAATAAAATTTGGTGCAAAATTAGGTGTAATGGGTTGGAGATGGAAAAAATTTGGTATAAAAATATGCTGGGAATATTCCTTTTGATGTAAAATTTGGTGCAGATGGTTGGAGATGGTCTTCCTGGCTGCACCTTTACTGTCTATATTATTAAACAATTTCATTTAAATAATAAATTATTATTATTAATTATAAGAAAATTGAAATGTTTTGGTAGTGTCCATTGTTTTAATTTTGCGAGACAAACACATGGAGCACATGACAACAAAAGGGGTTGATGTGAACTTGTGATGTGCTTTGGGCGATTATGTGCACTAATATATAACATCGTGTGCACCGTTTAATGCTGTCTGAATCGTGCGCACATTTCTTGATATGAAATGCAGTAAAAGAAAAATCAAAAGCAATATAAAGAAAGAACCTCACTAATTAGTTCTGTGTGCTTGCAGATTATAGCAATAAGTTTTGACGACGTTGTCAGTGTGGTGTTAATTGAAAGGAAATGATCATAGGAATAAAATAAACATAAATTTTTTTTCTTGTTCATTGGTGGGTGAAAACATGTGAAAGAAAGGAAAATTAATTTCTATTTTTTTTTTTTTTGGGTTTTTGAGTTATCAGGAAATAGATGAAAGAAAGTGGTTTTTTTTTTTTTTTGGGGGGGGGGGGGGGGGGGGGGGGTGGTTGAGTCCGTCCGTGCGGTCGTGTGCCCACGCACTATTAGGTACGCATAAACGCACCATGAGGTGTGGTGAGGTATGATGCATTTTTTAGTGTGTGGTGTGTTTTGTGGTGCATTGGTGCATTTCACCATGGTGCGTTTTTCATACCTAATGGTGTATTTTTTGGTGTGTGGTGCGTTTTGTGGTGCACTGGTGCATTTCACCCTAGTGCGTTTCCTAACACTATTAGTGCATTGTTGCATACCTAATGATGAATCCGCACCGGCCGCACGTTAGGCATTGACCGCAATTGAGCTTTTATATATATTGTGTTAAATTAGTTGTCCTCAAATTAAATATATTTTGTTATAGAATTATAGAATTATGGATTATGTATTTATGAACATCATGCATAATAATTTATAAATCACTAGCTATCACGTGTTTGAAATTTGATACAAAAGATTTCATGTTCAGCAAGTATCATTTTCTCGACTTTAATTTGTAACTATATATAAATGTATGCACATGAAAATGTTGCAACATGGGGTAGCTAGTGGAAAGGGAGTTCTCAATATGATGGAAGCATAACATTATGATAAAGTACAAATGATGCGAGCATTACATGTTTTGTAATTAGTGAACCTCATAACTAAAGTACACATGATGGGAGCATTATATGTTTTGTAATTAGTGAACATCATAACTAACGCACAGGTGATGCGAGCATTAATTACATGTTTCGTAATTAGTGAACCTCAAAACTAAAGTACAAATTATTGCATTAAATTAAGGGGAAGCTGATATGATGAACTTGATTGGTTAAGAAACCCAAAAAATAATTTACGGTAATTGTTTTTTTTTTTTTTTAATTTCAGTGTTTAACCATTAAAAAAATAAAATTAATGAAAATTATTCATTTTGGTCAGAGGAAAGTTTTTTTCATTTTGGCGGAATATGTCTTTTTAAATTTTTATTTGAAATATATTTTTTAAATTCCTATCTCACACTTAGTTCTGCCATTTAGAGCTGTCAAAACGAGCCCAACCCGTCATTTAACCCGTATTTTACACGGGCTGGGTTGGAGGATTTCCAGCCTGTCCCGTTTCCAACCCGGCCCGTGTAACCCGTGGGAGATACGGGTTATACGGGTTGGCCCGTGGGTTACACGGGCCGGCCCGTATAACCCGTATCCCCACCCATCCCACCCCCAAATGTGTTGTATAATTGGGTATTTTATTAATATTTAAAAAACATTGTTGCTAACAAGACTTGAACCCTTGACTTTTTACTTAAATTATCAAGTTATTATTAATATTGAAACCAACTATGCTAAGAACACATGTTAAACATTTTAATATAATTATATATCTATTTACATCATTCACAAGCATTATTAAATATATAATTGATAATTAATTTATATTACATTTATTACAAGTATTAATTAATACAATTAATTGTATCTTTATATAAATCTTAATTTAAAATTTATTTATTATATAAATTACATAAAGTAATAAATTATATATTTTATAAACTTTATAACTTAATAGTATTATAATTACAAAATAAAAAATATTACATGTAAAATATATTAGTATTAAATATAAATTAAATAAATTATAATTACATATTAAAAACTAAAATCTAATTTTATATGTGTATATGTTATATGTGTATATACATATTTGTATATATATAAATATACATATTTGTTCATTGTGATTAATGTGGCTGATTGGAAATAGTCTTGACTACTAACTTAAAGGTTATGGGTTCAATTCTTAACCAATACAACAATAAATATTTTAATAATGTAAATACAAAAAAAAAAAAAAAAAAAAAAAAAAGGGTTGACGGGCTGGCCCGTTTAGCCCGTCCTACACGGGTTGGGTTGGGAAAATCCCAACCCGTGAAAAAACGGGTCGGCTCGTCCCGTCTCGTTTCCAGTTGAACCCGAGACGGGCTAGCCCATATGGGCCGGGCTGGCCCGTTTTGACAGCTCTACTGTCATTCCATCCAGTCCCCTACCCCCCTCCCCTACCAAGGATGTAAAATATGTTATTGGTGTAATTTGGATAAAATATGAGTTTGTATGTTTGGGATGTGCTAATTAAACAATAAAAATCTTAGTTTGACACAACCCATTACTCAAAAGATGAAAAAAAAAATGTAAATATTTTCTTCTATTTCTTTAATTTATAAATTGGGCTAGTCGGACCAAATAATAAAAAGGGTCATTGTCTTTAATAGCAATTCTAAATTTCAAACTATCATTTTTGTCATTTAACATCCTAAACTATCATATGTTAGACACTTTTAGTCCTTTCGATGATTGAAAATGTGACTAAGGTCAAGGGACCTCCGCTGGAATTAACTAATTGAGAAAATTTACAAAAAAAAAAATGAAGAGGCAAAATTACCCTTGCCTAAAAATCTAAAATAAGGTTTCACCAGAAAAGTTATCGGAAGGACCAAAAGTGTTCAAAATATGATAGTCTGGCGTATCAAATGATAAAAAAATAATAGTATGAGACTAAATTTGAAATTGCCATAAAAAACAATAATATGATAGTCTGCTAAAATTAACTCTAATAAAAGGCAGAAGTGTCAAATAGACCCATCTACCACTGCGAAGTGCTTAATTTCCACCACGAACTAAAATATAGTGTAATCAGCCACATTTACCTCCTACAATTATTCGATTAGCCTTTTTTGCAGGTTACCTCCGGGTTGTCAATCCATATTGATGACCTACAATTTATTAAAATAAAAGTGTATGTTGAGGTGGAATTTAGTTCATTCAAAGTAGTTTGTTTAGACACAATAATGGAAATAGCCATTTTGCCAAAGGCCAAAGCGATTACTCCGTTGCTGAATGAATCAAAAGGGGCGATCAAGTTTCGAAGGCCACGGAGCTCGCCGGAGCCGGACCGTGGCGGAAGCGCCACTATAGCATTTGCCTTCGCCTCCGACTCGTTCTTAAACCGGAGCGGAACCACCTCGGCCGGCAGTGGCGCGACGGCGATACGGATCAGATTTTCGAGCGAGTCGACGACGGTGAAAATAGACCTCAGGGGGCTGGTGACGAAGGTCGCCCTGCCGATGAAAGCAGAGTAAATGGTGGAGAGAGAAGCGTAGACCAGAAGTGTAACAACCCAAAATTTTATTTTATAAATCCGATATTAAGAAATTCAAAAATAGACATTTTCACTCCATTAAAAAATTTTGCGATCAATTGGTGTTTGAATAAATTTTTTTAGTCACATTTTAAATTAATTCGACACCAAAATTTATCTTACTCAGAATTCCTAAAATCTCGGGTACTTCGCGTACCAAGATTTAAATCGAGAAATCAATTTGAGTGAGACTAGGAGAATTCAAAAAGACTTTAAACAAGGGTTCATCTAAATAACTTTTTGAGAAAATTCATTTCCAACCCCAAAGTATTCAAAGTTAGCATTTCTAGCCCTTGGTCCATGATACAATGTGAACCACAAGGCCATGTTTGATATTTTAAAGATGTAAGCCAAAAGACCATTTTGCCCTCCACCAATCATTGGTGATCTACCTAGGGTTTTACACCCATATAAATAGAACCATTTCACCTTACCTTCATCTGATCCATCTCTTTGCCTCTCCTATCCCTGAGCTTTCTGTAAACAAAGAAGAA